GCAGCATTATGATAGACGGTGAAGAGATTAACAGCTTTAGTTTGCCTGGCTCCACAATCAACACTCCTGGTACCTGAAGCCAGGAAATCAAAAGACAAATTGCATTGGGAAAGTCTGCTTTCGGGGACCTTCCCAGTGTACTGAAGAGCAATGATGCCATTCTGGAGACTAAGGTGTGCCTGATCATGATCTTTGCAATTGCTTGCTCTGCGTCAGAAAGCTGGATAATGACTAGGAATTATAGAAGGAGAATTCATGCCTTTGAGCTGTGGTGCTGGAGAAGAGTATTGAATATACTATGGACTGCCAGGAAAACAAACAGGCGTGTCCCGGAGAAGGTGAAACAGGCTGATACACGGACGCAAGGATTCTGAGGCTTCGTCTGACATACTCTGGCCATGTTGCAAGGCAGGGTCAGTCCTTAGAGAGGGATATCATGCTTAGAAGGGTGGAGGGATGGAGAAAGAGAGGAAGACCCTCAATGAGATGGATTGACACAGTGACTGGGGTAATGAGGGTAGGTGTGTCAGAGAAAATAAGGTTGGCACAGGATAGAGCAGGTTTCGGGGCTGTTGTATATAGTGTCACTGTAAGTTGCAAGCAACTCGAAGGCACATAACAACAAGGTTAGCTTGCCCGGACAAGGATTTTCAGGCGTGGGTGGCTACAGAATGATGTAATTTAGATGCAATTATTGTCTATTTTGTGATGTGCTGTACATGCTAGCTATAAATCCTAACTGCCATGGCTGTTTGGGCATGAGTGTCTCATGTTGAGGCAGGATTAGGGTGGAATGTATCTTGAGTCACCACTTTATTATATACAATGTGACTCCAATAACCAACCATATGTCAACAAGTCTGTGAGTCACACCTTAACAAAGGAGAGAAGGGCAATTAAAAAAAGAAAATAAAAAAAAAGGAAGAGAAAGTGTGACGGGACCAGGAGATTGGTAGGAGACAGCATGGTGAGCTTAATGGTCTGCACAAGACTGGTGTGGACAGGAAGTTATGTGGTGCCAGGGTCCTGGATACAAGGCCCAGGGCTGGGAGCAGCTTAAGTCAGGGAAGTTCCAGCCTCCCGCTGCGTGCTTCCCTCATTCAGCCTGCAGCCTCCAGCCAGCTGTCCAGAGACAAGAAACCTGAGCTCTGTTGGCCTTAATCCCCCCCCGCAGAGCCCTGATACCCCAAGCACAGGAGACAGGCTTTCTCATCTGCATGCAGCCTGCGTGCCTGGTCCTGCTGGGAATCTCTCTGATTGTCACCACAGCCACGACAAGGAGCTTGTTTTGCACACAAGAACACAGAGTCCCAAGGGGGCCAGTGAGCAAAAAGGGAGCAGGCTGGCCAAGAAATACCCCAAGAGGCAGAGTGGAAGAGGAAGGTGCCCGTGAGCATGCGGGGAAGGATGGCTGTCGTCTATCCCAAAGGACGGTCGTGTCACCCATATATAGAGTCTGCTTTCAGCCTCTGAGGGAGAAGGTTTCTCCACTAAGAAGCCCCCGATCCCAGCTGTTCCCTTTCAGGTCCCGAAGCAGATCAGATCTGATTCCCGCTCGGATCCCAAGCGCGCCAACCCCATCCCAGAATTCCTAAGAGTGTGAGCAGAATCTGACCTTTGCCGTTCTGTTCTCCAAGGTCCCAGGTGTGAGCCCCTCGCCAGGACCCTCCAGGTGAACGAAGGTGTAGAACACCGAGCGCCCCACGCACCAAGGTGCTTCAGTCTAGGTCACATTTAAAAGTCAAACGCAACAGAGCCCAAAGTCCTCGGCTGGAAAAAGCCGAAGTGCCGGTCACTTCCCCTTTTTGTATGACATTCCCACGTGAGGCCCCGGGGCATCATCCAAACCCCGCCTTTCTCGGGGCCGCCCTTCTTGGCTAGGAAAGGCCCCGGGAGTCCACCCCGTGACTTGCAAGGAGGTATCTGTCAGACCTGCCTCCTGGGGGGCCCGCCGTGCTCTCTTGGGGGTCTGATAGCAGCCCCAGGGCCGAGCGCGGGTGTCTTCCGCGCGCAGGTCGGCCGGAGTCCCAGCGCGCCACGGGCCGCGCGCGT